ACACATACACACACACACACACACACATGGTCTGGGAGTCGGGTTACACGCCAGGCGGGCCTGACGGGCCATCCCCGTCGGCCGCTCGGGCGCCCCTGCCGCCGGACGTGGAGATCTCCACCCAGCCCGACCCTGCCGAAGAGGGCAGCCTCCGGACCAATGTCTTCATCCCCGCCTCATGCTACACTCGGGCCGGCTATCGGCCGCTCGGCTGCCAGTCGGATGCCGGGTCGGCAGGCGACTCGCGCGCCTCCAGCGATGAGGACCTGGAAAAGGTGCCGGAGGCCCGGGCAACCGAGTCGCGGCCGGGCCTCGACTTGCCACCGGACACCAAGCCCATCTCCCCGGGGGGGAAGGCCCCCCGGCGTCGAGGCCGTCGGGGCCGATCGCACACCCGGCGCCGGTCCCGGAGCCGGCTGGCTCGCATGGCCCAGTCCCTGAAGACATTGCTGCTCTGCGGCATGGTGTACTCCGACTCCGATGACGAGGGCGACGCCGGGGCCTGTGACAACAGTGGTGGCGGTGGTGGCTCGGGCCACGCGCAGCAGCCTCTGCTGGCCGCGGCCACGCCGCAGGTGGCCATCGATCCCCAACTGTACCGGGACACCCTGCAAATTGTCATGTCGTACGTTCCCGGCATCGAGGCTGCTGCATCCCCATCGCCATCCTGCCTGTCGGCTGCCCTGCTCGGGCTCTGGCCCGCATCGGGCCTGCGAGGAGGAGACGAGGGGCCCGAGGTGCATTGACCACGCCAGACTAACCCACTTCCCACGGGCGGCGCCCGGGCCGTTGGCGAACCACCCCATGCCCGAAGCCACCTGTCCGAGATGAATGAGTCCGGCGATCCGCGCGGCATGGACAGCAACATGGACGACTTCGACTCGGACTCCGATTCGGACTCCGATGATGAGGGGATGGCCGCCGGGCGTGCGATGCGCCGTGCGGGCGCCGGCTCGGAGGCAAACGCCGCCGGCGGCTTTTCCGCCTTCCACCCGGGCGGCTCGCCGCCGCCGAGTTACTCGGACGGCGCGCAAAGCGGCACCGATGACGACCTGCCGGACACCGGCGAGGCGGGCATCCTGCTGCGGCACCGGGCCGGCGCGGCCTCGAGCACCGGGCGCCCGGGGTCCGGCAGCCTGGGGCCCCTCCTGGCGGGCAACGGCGGCTCCCGGCATCCCAACCACCACCACCACCACGACCACCACCAGTCGACAGGCCGACTGCCATACCAACAACCCCAGCACGGCTCGGGGCCGCTGCACGGGCCCTTCTCCGACCGGCCGGCTGGGGCCCTTTTGCCGGTCGGCGGCCGGGGACGAGCACGCTCGCCTCATGCGTCCGGGTCCCGGCGGCCCGGCATGCCGGCCGGCCCGCAGCCCCCGCCAGCCGGTCCGTCAGCACCGCCCCCGGGCCAGCGTCTGGACTACTTCCGCCCGGCACCCGGCCATCCGCAATACCAATCCGGGCATGTGCCGTCGCCATCGCAGCCGCAGCCACAGCCACAGCCGCACACCGGGTATGCCCCGCTGCCGGGGCTGGTGCCCCCGCCCAGCAGCAACCCGGACCTGGTCCGGGCCCAGGTCAACTACCGGGGATGGCACTTCACCATCAAGAACAAAACCAACCAGCGGGTGGCCATCCTCGTGTCGTACGATCGCCACGAGCGCTACATGACACAGATGTCCATACAGATGAACAACCTCGGCATGGCCTTGAGCTTCACCCGGAGCCTGCTGGGCTTGGGGCACCCGCAAACCGAGATCGAGCTGAATGGCATCAAGCGCAAGACCCACATCAAGGCCATCACGCGCTTCGTCTATGTGAGCGCCTTCTACGAGCGCTGGGCTCGGGCCAAGTGCCCGATGGGCCCGGCCCCGCCGGCCGACTGCCCCACCACCTGGGACCCGGAGCAGGCCCCCAACGGCATGTACAGCCCGCAGGACCCGCGCCTCTGGCGCCATGGCTTGCCTCCGCTGACCAGCGAGCCGGGCCCCTCGCCGGTGACCCCGGGCCCGGCGCCCCTGCCGCCGATGGTCCCCGGCCCGCCGGGGTACATCGGCCCGCGCGATGACCCGGCCCAGACCACCGCGCCGGATGCCGGGGAAGCCCCCAGCGCGCGCCCGGGCCGCGACGATGAGGATGACGATGAGATCCCCCTCGGCGGTCTCCCCGGGACCGGGGAGCTGGTGCCGGCTCGGGCCCCGCGGCCACCGCGCGAGCGCGTTTGGCTCTTCCGCAACCGCATCTGCCGGTACAACGGCCACATCACCCTGCGCCTGCCGATGTTCGACAACATCCAACTGGTGGAACCCATCCCGGAGGACGGCCCGATCGGGGGCGGTGGCCTGCCCTTGCGTAGCCTGGCCACTGTGGCCACCGGCACCGGAGCCTACTCCCTCGGTGAGGCTGGCGGCATGCTGGCCCTGGACCCCGGCCAGGAGCGCCAGCTGCATCATGCCCCTGAGCACGTTCCCCCGGGCCTGTGAGCCTCGATAGCCTGCCCTCGCCGGGACCAGTCCGCCCCGGGGGCATATGTCATTTGTCACTTGATATCAGCTGCCTGCCTGCCTGCCTGTCTGCCTGCCTGCCTGCCTGCCTGCCTGCCTGCCTGCCTGCCTGCCTGCCTGCCTGCCTGCCTGCCTGTCTGCCTGCCTGCCTCGTGCTCGCGCTGTGCTTTGTGCACAGCCCCACGAGGAGCATCGATCTCTCGGCCCCTTGTCGCTGGCTTCTGCCTCTCTCTCTCTCGCCCTCGCTCTCGCTCTCGCTCCCCCCGACCCCCACCCCGCGCCTTCCGCGTGTATCTTGTACCAGCCCCCAAGGCCCCGGCCTGTCGCTCTGTGCGCTGGCCAACACAAAGAAAAGATGCAACCCCCCTCCACCAATAGACCCCACCGTTATGGCCAGCGCACCGGCGGCACGATGCGACGGGGGAAGACAGCATGAGGGGACCAGGCGACAGAGGAGGAGTGGTAGGGAGGGGAGGGGGGGGGGGGGATGTCATTCACAAAAACGCTCCAGCGCCTGGCAGAGGAAGGCCGTCCGCTGGACAGCGCTCCGGCCTACCTCCACATGCCGAGGGAGGACAATGCGCCTGGTGCCATCCTCCTTGGCATAGTGGATGTCCCTCTCGGAGGCCGGGCGCTCGACGCTGCCCTCCAGCACCGGCTGTCCTGCCAGGGGGAAGATGTGCACCGGCGGCACGAAAACCCCGGCCGCGGTCGCGCTCGGGCCCACCCCCGGGGCAGGGCGTCTGGAGAGGTGCATTTCGACCATGGTGGACATGACGGCCAGACGTCGCAGCGCATGGCCGTCAGTGGCGCCGGTCGCCAGGTCGCCCTCGCTCTCGGACCAGAGACACACACTCTGCAGAGCCGGGCCCCGGTTGGTGCCCGGGGCCTGGCCGCTGTGCATGGCCAGCTCGAGGCCATCCTCGGCGCCGGGCGAACGGCCCCCATCCGTGTCCGACTGCGAGTCGCCCCAGGTGGCCAGCTGAGAGTCGCCTTCGGACACCGACTGGGAAGCCGTGTGCATTGTTGCTTGGGAGGGGCCCCGCGCTGGTGGTTGGGAGACGAGATCCTGTGTCGGCGGCTGGGAGACGAGATCCTGCGTTGGTTGGGAACCGTCCTGCCCTGGGGCCGGGGAAGGGGCAGGCTCGGCTGGCCGGCCAGCGGCCTGCTCGGCGGCTTGACAAACGGTCAATGGGGGGGCTGCCCGGGACTCGGTCGGGCCCAGGGATTGGCTGCCGCTGGACATGGCCACTCGTGAGTCGTGCCCGGCCGCACATTCCCGGGGGGGCCCTGCGTCGGCTGACCGAGAGCCAGCGAGCGCACCCGATCCCGGGGAAAGACCCCCGCTTGGGGGGGCGGCCAAACTGCATGGACTGCCTGGCCCGGTGGGCTCCAGCTCAAAGAGATCATCGCTCTCGTGGGACTGCTCGTCATCGCCGGGATGCCCATCGTCAAGGCCCACGGTGGTGGCATCGGACAGCACCGCCCCCGGCGGGGACGCGTCCACACCGGGCAGCCCGGGGGGCTGGACGCCGCCCGGGCTCGAGGGGTCTATCCGCTGAACCCCAAGCAGGGCCGCCCGCGGACACCAGGGCCCCGGCGAGGTGTCGCGGCTGTCGGTGCCCACGTCGAACGGCCCGGCAGCCAGGCCAACCGGCAGCGGCTCCGGCCGGGCGGCCAGCTGGAGGGCGATCTCAGCGCGGAGGTGCTGGCTGGCCTCCTGGAAGCGGCGCTCCTGCGACAGTTCCTGATTGGCCAGCAGCGCCCGAGCCGCCGCTTCGGAGGCCTGCCACGTCGATTCGTCCGGCTGCAGCAGGGCCATGTCCACTTGGGGGAAGCGCCAGACCGGGGCCACTGGGGCCGGCGGACTGGGCGGAGCGGGCGGACTGGCGGCCGGCTCGGCCGCCGGGGCCATGGCTGTAACCACCGCCGGCGCGGGAACCCCGGAGAAACGCGGCGTCGTGTGGCTGGCCGCCTGGCCGCGGGGCGGGTCTGTGGCTCGCAGGAGGGCACTGGCCTCCGGGTCCCGGGGAGGCGGGTTGGCCGGCTCGGCTGCGCGGGGGCGCGAGGCGCGCGCGGTGGCTCGCCCCGCATCCGGTCGACCCGGCGGGGTCTGGCGCCGGGAGCGCTTACGCTCCGGCTGCTGCAGCGAGGTCAGCTGGTCCATGAAAGACTGCCCGCCAGCGGTTTGCGGGGCGAGACGCCGCCGGCCGAGGCCCTGCTCGGTGGGCGGGTCGGGCGCTTCCGGCGCGGCTGGCGGCACCGGCTGGGCCGGCGGCGCAGGCTGCCCGGAACCGCGCCCGCCTGGGCCAGATGTGTTCGATCGTAGCGGGAACATGGCCGCAGCCGCGACACACGCACACGCACACGCACACGCACACGCACACGCACGGGGGGGCGCGAAGCGGAGGAGACCCGGCCACGGAGAAAGGAGCAGGCAAAGGGGGCGCGGAGAAGGACAGAAGGGTGGCAGGTGCTGGCTCGCGGCAGGGGGATGGTCCTGTGGCCTCGATCGTGGCCCAGCGGTGGCGCACATCAAGCACCAGCCAGGGGTGCGCGCCCGCCTGCAGGCCCACACCTTCGGGCGCACACGCATACATGCGCGCTCGCACCAGGAGGGGGCCAGACCGCGCACCGTGTGAGATTGCTCACGCCGATTGTTCCCGCGCCCCGTTCACGGAGATCGCGCGCCCGAGCGCGCATGCTTGCCGGCTCGCCCCTCGCGCGCGCGCACACACACACACACACACACGCAGCGCAGGAAGCCGAACACGGAGGGCGCCAGCCAGTTGCCGATGCTCCGCGTCGCCGCAGGCCAGCGACGTGATATAGGCCCTCCTCGGCCGCTGCCCCCCAGCGGTTGAGTGGTGTAATGGTTATCACGGCAGACTCTGAATCTGTCAATCCGAGTTCGATTCTCGGCTCGACCTTGCTTTTTTGGGCCGGCCGGCCACAGGCCCGGGCCCTGACCGCGGGCGAAGAGAGAAAGCCGGAGACGGCGGCCGAGGAGAGGAGGAGGGAGAGGGGGGCATCAACCCGGGCCACTGGCGGTGATCTCCCAACGCCCGGGCGCCCGCGCGTGCGGCCCAGCACGTACATGCGTGTGTTTTTCGGGCCATAGGGCGCGGGTGGCCCGGCACCACACGCCGCCATGGGCACTTCTCCCCCCCCCCCCCCCCCCCCCGGCTTCCTCCTGCACAGGCTTCACCTCCAAGTACAGCCATGCCAAGCGCCCCTCCCTCGATCCATCCTCTCTCTCTCCTTCCCCTCTCCAAGTCCCAGGGTGGGCAAGACTGAGCAAGTGCACGCCTGTACTCTTGCTCCTTCCTCTCCCCGACTGCCCGCCCGCCCGCCGATGCTCCCCCCATCGCCCGGGCAGAGCACCGTCGACGGGGACCCCCTCCTTCGGAGTACACTCTCCTCCTTTGGGATCGACTTCACCGAGAGTGGCCGGGGGTCGAGCGATGATGACGATGGCCAGCCCGGCGCCGCTGGCCCCGCCGGTCCCCGGCCTCGGGCATCGCTCGCCACGCCTGTCATTCCCCGGACGCCGCGCAGCCCCGGCACCCCGGGCACGCCGGACCGGGTGCTGGTTTTCGATCGGCGCGGCTCGGTAGCCCCGATTGAGGATCTTGATGCGCCGGATGTCAGATCGCCGGCGCTGCAAACGGCCAGCCCGGCCGCCGGTCCGGCGATCGAACCCACCCCACCCGGGGCCCCCCCTCCACCGCCGGGCCGCCCCCCGCCGCTGACCTCCTCCCTGTCCCAGGTAGCGGCCGGCTCGACTCCGACGCCCCCCTCGCCGGGGTACAGCCATGACCGGAGCCCAGAGCTGTTGGATGTCGATGAGTCCTGGCTGCCGACGCCCGGGACGCGGGTGGCACACGCCTCCAGCTTCGGGCTGTGTCATGGTCCGATTGCAGGGACGCTGGACGATCCGGACCCCGCATTGGTCGGGTCGCTTGAAGTCGGCAGCAGCTGGGGGGCTGTTGCCGGGGCCGGGGCCGGGGCCGGGGCCGGGGCCGGGGCCGGGACATCACCCGTGGGCACCATGGGGGAGCCACCGGCCGACCCATCGCCCGGGGCCGGCTCCGGCTCCGGCTCCGGCTCCGGCTCCGGCTCCGGCTCGCTGCTGCTCGGAGGTTGCCCCAAAGCCGCCGAGTGCGTCTCGTCCAGTTCCGGCGACGACGCCCTCGCGGGATCTGCCCCGGCGGCCGGGGTCTTCGCCTGGCGCCTGGACTCGCGCATGCTCCTGGCCCTCGGGCTCGGGCAGATGCTGTCGCTGCTGATCACCGGCACCGGGGTCACCAGCCAGCTGCTGGCCAGCCGCTTTCAGGTGAATATGCCCACCGCGCAGAGCACCCTCAACTATCTGCTGCTCTTTTTGCTGTACTGCCCGCTGCTGTGCCTGGCCTTGCGGCGGCGAATGGCGGCGGCCATGATGCGGGCCGGCCCCGCCGACAAGGGCCACACCGACTGCCACATGGACGATGGCTCGCCCGAGGCAGGCGTGGTCCCCTCCACCGGGCGCCTTCTGTGGGAGGAGGCCCGCCGGGTGCTGGCCCCCCGCCGGGCCTGGCCCTTCCTGCTGGCGGCCGTCATCGATGTCGAAGCCAACTTCCTGGTGGTGTCGGCCTACCAGTACACCACCATCGCCTCGATCACCCTGATCGACTGTGTCAGCATCCCCTCGGCGGTGCTGTGGTCGCGGGCCTTCCTGGGCACGCGCTTCCGGTGGTTGCACCTGCTGGCCATCGGGGTTTGTCTGGCCGGGCTGCTGGCCCTGGCTGCGTCGGAATTCCTGTCGGCCGGATCGGCCGCCCGGACCCTGGCCGGGGCCTTGGTCACCTTCGGTGCTGGGTCCTCCTCGGCCGGGGCATCCTCCTCGGCCGGGGGGGAGCCCTCCCTGCAGGACAAGCTCATCGGCAACTTCATGTGCCTGGCCGGGGCCTTCCTCTATGGCCTGTCGAATGTCATTCAGGAGCGCCTGGTGTGCGGCGACCCGCAACTGGCCCAGCAGCCCGGCCCGGATGTCCCGCCACAGCTGGACATCAATGGGGACAATGTGGATGGCCTGTCCCCGGGAGCAGGCTGCCCGGGCCAAGTGCAGGACGAGAACTCCCTGCTACTGGATGCCGGGGCTTCGCCGCCGCAGGGCGCCAGGTCGGCCCCTCTGGCCAGCCTCCCGACCCCGGAGCAACAGGCCGCCGATGCTGCCATCCGGCGGTACACCTTCCTGACGCTGCTGGGCCTGTTCGGCACCCTGGTCAGTCTCATCCAACTGTTTGCCCTGGAGCGCGATGAACTCCACGCCATCGCTTGGAATTGGTCCATCGGTGCGTTCCCGGGCCGCGAGCCTGCATGGTGGCATGCGCCCACCCACGCACGCCGGCGTCCATGGATTTCCCCCGGCTGACACTGCCTCCCACACTTCAGTTGGTCTATTCATCGGATTCGCCCTCTGTCTTTTCCTCATGTACAGCTTGGTACCGCTGATGCTGTCGCTGTCGTCGGCCACCGCACTCAATATGTCCCTGCTCACGGCTGACGTGTACGGCGTCCTGGCCGGGGTGTTCCTCTTTGGCGACCAGGTGCGTGTGTGTGTGTGTGTGTGTGTGTGTGTTCCTATGTGGGCAACATGCTGGCACATCCTCCTTCTCTTGGTATGCTCGCCCTTTGCCGGTGTCCCGCTCATCTTCTTGCTCCTCCTCCTCCCGTCCCTCTTCCCCTTCTTTCCCCTTTCCTCTTCCATGCATGGGCATGCGTATGCGCACATGCTGGTATCTGCGCTCCAGCTTACGGCCCTCTACGGGGTGGCCTTCTTCCTGGTGCTGATGGGCCTGATTATGTTCGAGTGGCACCCACCGGTGACTGCGGCCCTTCGACCGTGGCTTGGATTCTGGGGCTGGGACAACGCCTCGAGCAAGGTCGATCTGCCAGCCAACTACCAACCGGCCTACTTCTGCTGAACAGATACGTATGCCCGGAAGAAAAGATCAAAAAGGAACATCATCCGTGTGCTCCACGTGCTCCGTGTGTGTGTGTGTGTGTTTGCTTCTCCCCCAGGGTAGACAGGGGTCCCAGTAAATGGAGGAGAGCGAGACAACAAAAAAAAAAAAGGCCGAATCCAAAATGGGGGCGGGAGGCGCAAGCCGGACATGAGAGGGTTTCATGTGTATTGTATGTGAGAAGCGAGGAAGGGCGGCGGGAGGGGGAAGTCGGGCCCCATCGTGCACGCGAGTGTGATCTAAGTGTAGTACATCTCGAGGTTGACGCCATCACTGATCTCGTCTGGAGTGATCACGGTTGGGCAGGTTAGCGATGGTACAGGGGGCCGAGGAGCTGGCTGTGCCTCCAAAAGAAGTGACAATGCAAGATGTGCAGGGGGGGGGGGGG